TGAGGATTTTGGATGAATACGATGAAATTTATGGAACATATTAGGATAGGAGAAGACAGTAATCTTATGAACACAATGCATGACTACAGTACAAAAGGAGAGTTGACAAGGAGTCCTCAAGCCACAGCGTGCTATCTAAATATCGCATGCAGCCGATTTCTAGCAAGTAATTCTCGTAAAATACTTCACAAATGAACCTCTTCTCAGTCTCAAAAATCGACAGTCAAAAATTATAAAGCAGCATCATAAAACATCAACTACAAACCAATCAGTTCACTAAAAGCAAATAGTGACAGAGTATACATAGCTAAGACTTACCTGCAAATCACCAAGCTAGCACAAATACAACAGCTCTCAATACTTTGAGAAGATCTGGTTGCAAAAAGATGTTCTCTGAACCCGCAATACAAATTCAATTCTATGCGTATAGGTTCAAGTATTTTATTCTAGTTAAATATGTGCTTGCAACAATTATTCCATTAACCGAAATGGCTTGAACGTCGACATGAAAGAACAACTCATGGACAATTATAAACTGTCTCTGAAGAAACTAGAGCAATACGGAAAAATAAGCCCGATATATTTCACCGAACAATATGAAATTGTTTCGATATAGTTGATAAGAAATTTTTGTATCACATACATAAATATATAATTCTGATGAATGTGGACATATGACTATCTCAGCGCTATGATGTCAGTCATTTCTCACCTATCGAGATATTTGCATTATTTTATCTCTCTATCAAATAGTGTCAGTTATATGTCAATTGATAAATATTGAGACTAATTTTTATCTTGAAAAAACAGACGTGTATCATAGAAAATCTTTTCCTTATCTCGCACGTTTGATTTTAGAGACATTTATTCCGTATATATATCTATCACATAAATATATGAGCAATCAAACTGTCAAGTGATATCTATCGTTAGTCAGAAGTTTGTATCTGAAAAAGAGCACTATTTTGATGATTTTTTTCAATTCTGCTGTCAACAAGCTTGTCAAATATAATCCCGATTGCCATAAAAATATATCAATGAATATAAGTAATGAACATGAAGAGCAGAAAAATTAGTTTAATACGAGAGAGATTACTATTAATATGTTTCAAGTTCACTCATTTTAATATTCTCGACTTAACTTCATTCACTCGTTGATTGTGAACGGCGTAAAGAAACGGCTGATTTTGACGCTTCTAGACTAATGATAACCTTTTAAAATAAATGTAACAACTTTCGGAATAATCCCTGTGACATCAAGATGTGAAACTTGATGGCGCCGTTTTACATGAACATAAAGTGATTCTCATTTTCGTAATGATCTGCCACGAGATCAAAGAGAATAATCTTCAAGTGTCTTTGGCAATATAGAATTTGACTTAATATAAAGAAGGAGATTAATTTGTGTACTCTTAGAAACTTGCTGATTACCATAGTGGATATAGATGTTAATCATCAAACAGATATTCTCATGGCAGAAATAAACAACGTTTATTTTGAAATCGTTTGACTTTTCTTTCTTCTCATCTACTCGAATGCAATAATAATACGAGGAAGGGTTGAAAAAGAATTTTTCCTTGTAGAGAGATAAAAATCAACAGTATCTTTTGGTGGTTTTAGTTACATGAAATAGTTGCAAAAAAAACATGAAGAGAAGCAAATGATGACTTTTATTGACATAGTATTTTATTGGTGATCGAGAATTTTTCAACTAGAAAAGAAAACGAGAGAAAAGACTCAATATCTACTTATGTTTGATGCATATTAAAAAAAAATTTCAATAGACATTAAACTTGTCTTGCAACGATCGCGAAACTACGTTACAGAGTAAGTAATCATCTTTGATTCTTTTTCAAGAATACAAACGTTCAGGAATTCAACGCAGACTCGACTGAAAACTGTTCAATAGAATATACTATCCTAATAGGACTTTTCTTTCAAATGAGCATGAAAGCATATAGCGAGAAAGATTGATACTCGAGATTGTGGAAAATAGGATATTGTCAAGTTTTTGTAAGTGCTGATTGTCCGATTGTTTTTTTATATGACAGAAACATCTTTATTTTGATTTCTACATAGTTTATCTGGTGGAGATGAATAAAACTGAGCGATCAATCTCCATTATGACTCGTCTCAAACATCGTCAGTTCGATGATGACGACTTGAAGATTTGGTAAATGGCCGACGATTGGAAAAAAAACATTCTTCATCTCATTACGGTCAAATTCTGGTATATGTTGAACATATCCACCATAACCAATGCTCTACAAACATTTTCATCTGTCCTCTGAAAAGAATACAAGCGCTAGTTTGTGGCATTCAGTCAATGAAGTTTTATTTTCTTTACTACTCCTTTCTATTTCTTTATAAGACATGAACTTAGTAATGTAGATTATGTATCGACAGCATAAAATATTGGTGAACCTGTCTGTGAGCGAACATGTTCCCAGAAAAAATCTCTCGGTTTGTATACTGTTTCGCTAATTGCTAATATGATATCGATCGCAGTTTTGTCTCTGAGAAATACTTGTAGACTAGTATCTTGCACGGGTACGACATTTTGTACCTGAAATCGATCCGGCAGGTTGTGGGTGTGGAGGTAAACAAAGGATAGACCCACAGTCACACCGACAACCAAAACCCACACCCACACACATCCTAAAATATGAACAGAAAAAAAGTGGCCCAGTAAGTCTAATTGTCGACGAATTTAGAACATAGTCATAGTATGAACCTTAAAAGCTTCACTGACATCGTTCTCGTATTATGTTATTGTGAATATATCTGCGTCATAGTATAACACAGCAATTAGAAGCTGAGAGATTTATTTTCAATCTAGTTCTTTTAGCAGATTTGAAAGATTTAATAGATGTAAAGTGTTCGAAAGAACGTGTATTTGATAATGAACATTCAAAATAATTAATCATTTGGCGACGTTTATGGTAATGAGTAACGAGATTTATCATCATCGCGCCATCAGAAGAGTCATAAAAATTTGATACTTGTATAGCATCTGTTGCCAAGTTCATCTAGCTCCCGGATGGCATGTGACATTTTGGCGTCTGCCACCTTTCACAATCGAGGAACCATCTAGCTGATGAAATGTGACTGCGACAGCCTAGAAATCAAGCACTAGTAAAACAATCGCACCATCATCCGAGAATTTGTTCATTTGTAAATTGTATTGTAGGATGGCAAATCGTTCGATTACCGTGTGCAGATTGAGTTGGGACACATATTAAGTTTGAAATACTTTTACATCGTTGTACGGCGTAGTCTACTATGCCAGTTAGATCCGTTGTAGAACACTTTTCTTCAGCGTACGAATGGGCACGCTTTAGTTGAAAGACACTTACAGAAAGATAAATTCGGAAACAAAATTCGAAACTGAACTTATTACCGAGAGTTAAATCTCCCACATCTTCTTCTGACATAATCGAAAATAAATCCATAATTTCATCATGATTAGCTGTCTCCCACTGTGGAGTTCGTTTAATGAGATTGTTTTCTTCGAGGAGCTAAAGAGTGATATGAAACACGTTATACAACAAGCTATTGTTACAGTTATCTACTAGCTGAATTCTTTTTTTTGATGAAGTAATTTCATAATTTTTTGACGAACTTCTGAATCTTCTGGTTTTGATGTTGCCATTGGTGCACTCTAAAAAAAATAGGTATTCCCGAAAACCCTTAGAGGGTTTCCGAGTTTGTTACTATAGGAAACCCTTTAATGGTTTCCGAAGAAGGGTTTCCGAGACCTCGGAAACCCATAGTACCCATTATAGCTAAATCTCAAATACCTCTTCGGAAACCCAAAGAAAAGGTTTCCGAATGCGGTTAAAGCTCCACCAAGCTAGCCTAGACAGGAATCCATCACTTCTCTGCCAGCAGCAACAAGCATTCACAGCGGCCACGGACATTCAATGAGGTTCTGTTGTGAATCTATTCACACCAAGAAATAACTAGAACAGTCATTAAAGGTCAGCAACACACGGAATTTAGAGAAAAACTTTAATTATTCAGATGCACTTCGTCGCACCATTACCAAACCATCAAGAAGCTAAATATAACGGCCTTCTCCACCTAAAAAATGAACAAAAGAAGCAATTTTTCATCGAAAATCATCTAAACTCACCCGTTTTCTTCACATTCAACCACATCAAAACTAATGAGCACCCTTTCGCATGTAAAACATAATTCAACCAAAATAGTTAATGAACCAATTTCATAGCTCATCAAACATTACCCTACGACAATCATCTAAAACTGAAAAGAAAATTATATTTTAATTTACTAAATTGATTCAAACTCACCCGACCTATTGCGAGAAAACAATTCTAAGGATGAAAATAAAATTTCATTTTCGTACAATAATTTGAACAAACTTTCCATATATACTAATATATAAAATGAATCTACAAATAAAAATAAAACTGTTTTTTAATTTAAAGAATTTTTGTCCAACTCACCAGATCTATGAATATAAAACGAATCTAAAAATGAAAATAGAATTGTATTTTTACTTAATGCATTGATTCAGACTCACCGGATATATCGATATCACACGAGTCTAAAAATACAAATGAAACTTTAATTTAGAAAATTGATTCAAACTTACCAAATCGATCGATATTAAATGAATCTAAAAATAAAAATAAAATTTCATGTTCATTTAGTAATTGGAGTAAACTCACCAGATATATTGAGATATAAAACGAATCTAAACATAAAAGCGAAACTTCATTTTCATTTAGTAATTGAAATAAACTTACATGATGTATTGAAATATAAAACGAAGATAAAAATAAAATAAAATATTATTTTAATTTAATAAATTGATTGAAACCTACCGGATCCACAAATATCGCATGAATCCAAAAACTGAAAATAAAATTGTATTTTTATTTTATTCATCGATTCAAACTCCCTGAATCTATTGCCAGACAGCGAATCTAAAAGTAAAAATGAACTTTCATTCTTATTTAGTAATTCCAATGAACTCATCCGACATATTGAGTTATAAAACGAATCTAAAAATAAAAACAAAATTTCATTTTAATTTGATAAATTGATTCAAACTCACTAGATCTATCGATATACCACGAATCTAAAAATAAAAATAAAAATAGAATTTCATTTTTCATTTAGTAATTGGAAAAAACTCACCGGATATATTGATAAATACGGATCGAATCTCCAAACAAAAGTTAAAGATAGGGGTGGGCAGTTACCGTTACCGTTCCCAGGTAACGGTAACGGGACCGTTACCAGTCACCACGGTAACTGGTAACGGTTCCGTTCCCGTTCCCGGGTAACTGGTAACGGAACCGTTACCAGTTACCCGGGAACTGGTAACGGTTCCGTTACCAGTTACCCGGGAACGGGAACGGCCCGTTACCAGTTACCAGGGAACGGGGTAACGGTAGTACTATGGGGGATACCTTTAGGTCCTCAAGTCCTAATATTGGAGGATACCCTTAGGCCCTCTAGTCCTACTACTGGAGTATATCTTTAGGTCCTCAAGTCCCACTATTGGGGGGAGTCTATGGGCTTTTTTATTTCAAACTGAATTCTAAAATCAAAAAAACCGCACCAACTTCTTCCGAATCAAACTTTTCTCGTTTGATACTACGTAGTCCCACTAAAAACCCTTAGTCCCCCCTAGTCCTGCAAAGTCCCCCTTAGTCCCCCCCACAAAAAGCTTAGTCCCCGCTTAGTCCCTTGTGCAGGGGACTAAAGCCTATAGTACACAAAGCCACAAGCACACCCTCACCCTCACTCGCGCGCCCACACCCGCACCATGGGTGTGGGTGTGTGTGTGGGTCCCAGACCAACACCCACAGCCTCAGTCACTCCCCCCCCCTCACTCCTAGACTCACGTTTCAGTTTGAAATCAAGTATTATTTTTATTTGATAAATTCAGACTGAAATTAAATAGCCCATAGTATGATTGGGGGATACCTTTCGGTCCTCAAGTCCTACTTAGGGGTGGGCAGTTCCCGTTAACTGGGAACTGATAACGGTTCCAGGAGCTGTTCCCGTGAACTGGTGACGAGGTAACAGGCGCATACTCTGGACTACCTTTAGGTCCTCGAGGGCTACCACAGGGATTCTCTTGGTTCCTCAAAAAAATTATTTTTTTCGAAAATTTTTTTGAATGCAGAAATGGAATCTCTGAGAAAAAATAAAATTTTGATCAAACACCCTAAAATTTTGTTGTAAAAAATTTTGTTTACTAAAAAATCTGGTTAGAAAAAATTTTTTTTGCAAAAACCAGTTCCAGTAAGAAAATAGGAAGGAAAGCATTTTCCGGTAGCCCGTTCCTAGTAACTCGTAACGGTAGCTTCCCATCGTTAGCCTTCAATTTTAGGACTTGAGGACCTAAGGGTATCCGCAATAGTAGGACTTGAAGACCCAAGGGTATCCCCCAATACTAGGACTTGAGGACCTAAAGGTATCCCCCAATAGTAGGACTTAAGGACCCAAGGGTATCCCCCAGTAGTAGTACCGTTACCCCGTTCCCGAGTAACTGGTAACGGGTCGTTACCGTTCCCGGGTAACTGGTAACGGAACCGTTACCAGTTACCCATGAACTGGTAACGGTTCCGTTACCAGTTACTCGGGAACGGTAACGGAACCGTTACCAGTTACCCGGATAACTGGTAACTTTTTCTATGTGAACCGTTACCGTTACCGTTACCGGGTAACGGTCTGGGAACGGTAACTGCCGACCCCTAGATGTGTGACGTTTTCTTTAACTGTCAATGTAGGTGAACCCAAGTCGATTGTAACTAAAGGATGAATTTAAAAGGACTAATTTGAGAATTAATATAAAGAAAGAAAGGAGCAAAATCAGCAACTTCTCTACATAAAAATCATATCATCAGTAGAATTCAAAGCTACACACTTTGTTTACTTCCTCGTTTCGAAGGTTTTCGTAAAGACTATAAGTAGTAAATTCTGACTCAACCCATTCATATATGGATTAGTCGAAGAACTGTTAACCCTGTACAAAAGTTTATAGGCTGCTTAATTGTATAACATCATTTCATTTGGAAAATTGATAATTGCTTTTGATTGAAGCTCAACCATTGAACTACTCGTACAAGAAAAACCTTTTTTTTCAGATTATACGAGAATAAACCACAATGGTGAATAATCGTGTATATGATCAAAATTTTGTAGTTGATATGAGGAATAAACATGTTGAACATATCTCTACTACGTCTCTTGAGAATCCCAAAAACCATAGACGATCAAATTTTTTCAAGTAAGTGAATATTCTTTTATAAGCAATAAAAAAATCTTGATTGTTACGTTTGAACTAGGTGTCATAATAGGAGGAAACATGTTAATCAACAAATATCTGATGAGCAACCACCTAAAAGAAAACTACAAGAAGCTGTAAGTAATATTGGTCTTATATTGTGTTGTCTATTGATGGTTGATTAAATGTTTAGTATCGATTTGCGAATAAATTCGATTACCTATTAATCTTCATTGGAACGATTACCGGTACGTTTTTCATTTCTGTAGATTCATTCAATTAACGTCTTGATCTTTCTATGTTGGTCATATGTTCTTATTTTTTAATATTCTAATTTCATCATTCATATTTTTAATGGGGTGGATGCGAGTATGGATGTCACAGTTTAATGTCCCCCTAGCCACACTTATCAATTACATCATCTCAAAGCTGTTTTCAAACATGAGTTCCCTAAAATTGATTATGGAAGAAAGACAAAAGTTCGAGTAAACCCCTCCTCGTATTAGAACAACCTCCCCCTTTAATTAATTAATTTTTTGATAATTAGGAACTTTAATTAGGGAATTTTTGTCCAGAAGTGCACAACTTTTAGAATTTTTGCTAGGAATCTTTAGAAAGTGAGTCCAAATGTGTCCCTCAACTAGGATTGCCAGATTAAACATTAAAAAATCGTAAAATTTTTTCTTAAAATGGGAAAAATGTCGGAATTTTTATTCTAAAAATCGGAAAGTACTTTTTTTAATGCTCAAATAGCTAGTCTTTTTTTCTAATAGACAATATCCTTTAGCTTGCTTGTATTCATTTTTCGAAGCAATATTTTAAAAGATATTTCATAAAGAATTAAAGAAAATATAAATTTACATACAAAATTTACTGATGATTAAGAATTTCACATAAGTCATTTAAACGAAGTTACATTGTTTTTCTCAAACATCTTCTGAGCAACTTGACGGAAGAAAATAATCAACATTGAAAATTCATACACATATGCCTTTCACAAAACTTGTACAAAAGAAACCAAGATTTATTATTTATAACGTCCGGTTTTGTTCATACTTCCTTATTAGCTGAAATGCTCTTGAAAACATCAGATTGAGGTAACAGATATTCATAAAAATATCCAAAGGAGTAAACGGAACTCATTCTGATTTCAATTCGGCAACAGTCAATTGAGTACCCCACACGATTAGATTAGTTTTATTATGTTTGCAATGAAGCAAAAAATCTCAAAAAGGAAAATATTATTAATTATTGGTATAGAGAAAATTAGTTCATCACGACAGAAAACTAAATCTTTGTTGTCTGTAGAATATCCTAATTTTTTTTTGAGGATGAGTTTTCAGAGCACTGAAGTATGTTTTCTTGAGTTCATGACGCTGCAGCATCGAATAATTACATTAAAATAGATCACAATATACTTAGGGCGTACCAAAAGTTCGTGTCCCGCTATTTAAAGGGC